CTGAAGCCCATGCTCAGAAAGAAAGGTGGAGGTTGGGGGGAGAGAGAAGAACCGGGAAGGAGACAAAGTTAGTTGCATTGGAGAAACCTGGCATGAAAGAGACTACTTTAATGTGAACCAAGTGCCCTTTGAGCACTGAAGTAGGGTGGGGCCTCAGAAAGCATTAGCATCCCCACCGAACTAGTCAGGACTAGGGAACTAGTCATGATGGAGTTAAAGTGGATCTTACAATGATCAAGGCAACTTGTTTTCTAGATTTATGTGTATGATTGTTTTGCCTCTGTGTGTGTGTGTGTGGGGGGGTGCATACATGTGCGTATATGTACCACGTGTAGGCCTTTTGTCCACAGAGTTCAGAAGAGGACTCTTGGTCCTCTGGAGTTACAGAATGCTGTGGGTTCTGGGGACCAACTCTAGGTTCTTTGGAAGAGTAGCCAGTGCTGCCAAATGTTGAGCCATCTGACTAGCCCCAGGAAAACTTTATTTTTGAGACACGTAGCACAGGCTGACCTAAAACTTCTTGTGTTGCTGAGGCTGACTTTGAATATCTGATCCCTGGCCCCTCTAATTCTGGAATTACTAGATGTCACCACAGTTGATTAGGAGAAACTTTGACAGGCATCTTACTCAAGCTCAGTATTCTAAATGTAGGGGGAAAATAAGAATTCAGTTGTTGGATTTTAAGAGTGCTAGAGGGGTCTTATACATACTGGTCAAGTACTCTCCTATCACCGACTGCATCCTAGCCCAGAGTTCCTGCCAAGTTTGTCAGAACTCCAGAGTAGCACTTGTACAAGAGAATTATAGCCAGCTGAGTAAACCTAAAAGATCATTTCTAAATATATAAACTACTAGCTAATATAGAAGGGAGGAGCCTTTCCCCTCCTTCCTCACTCAATTAGAGAGACTCAGATATAATCATGATTGTGTCAAAAGTTCAAAAGGGAAAATGGAAGGGAAAATGAGCTGAGTTGGCACTCTTCCCTCAACATTGTACCTGTAAGCTTGATATGTTGTTTCAGAGATTAACTTTACAGACTTCCGTACCCAGAAGTATGAAAATTCTTGGGGACCTCTTTTCACAGGCTTGATCTTAACATACTGAATAAAGAGAGCAGTTAATCCCTTTTGTAAAGTAATTTGAGAGGAGGGTGTTCAGAATGTAAAATCTCACCTGCAGAAAGCGCTTAGCTCAGTAAAGACCTTTCTGTCTTTAGACACTTACAAAGACTTAATATTTTAATGCGGAAGGGTGAACCTGGTTAAAAAGCCAATGGGTGAAATTAGAGAGAAATAATCCAGTGCTTTCTTTTGGGAATTATCGTCCTGCTCTCCAGGGGACCTGCGTTTTTCCTTCTGAGGAATGAGAATGCCCCTCTGTGTAGCTAGCCTCTACTCTAAACACTAGTTTGACTTTAGTATAGGAAGAGTCTTGTTAGGCGCAGTTTTGCTCCTAGTCAGAAATACAATGAACAAATGTTGTGGTTACCTGGGAAAGAAAACTCAAGTGCTTTTAAACCTCTTGTGAGATTAGGTTTCATGCTTGAAACCTATACACTGTTATGCCCAATAGCATCTGTAGAAGGCTCCACGCTCTTAAGTTATACAACGTAGAAGTTAATACACTGGAAAAATTGACACCACTACAGAATGAACTTAAGGTCCTGAATAGAAAGCCTTTCTTCTGCTGAGTGACAGCTTATTTACTGGTGGCATTAAGGTTAGCAGACAAGGAGCGTTTTCTTAGCAGTGGATGCTACAACATGATGCCTTGATATCCAAAGAGGGGAGGCTTTCCTCCAGGTGCCTCTTAATTTTTTTTTTCAAGTTTACAGTTCCCCAAGTGCAAATACTGAATTAAGAACAAAATTCACCCAAGAGAGTGGGTAATATTAAGTGGAATTTTGATAGAGCTTGCCATTTAGTATATTAAATCATTTCTGAACTCTACAGACTTTGTGACAGGCATCTCTGTGGATCCTAGGCTGGCCTTGCACTTGACATCCTGCTTTGCCTCCTGAGTACAAGGATTTTAATTCTTACATGCATATTAAAAATATTTTTGTTCTGTTAATGTTTTTGTTTTTGTTGTTGTTGTTGTTCGAGACAGGGGTTTCTCTGTGTAGCTTTGGAGCCTATCCTGGCACTCGTTCTGGAGACCAGGCTGGCCTTGAACTCACAGAGATCCGCCTGCCTCTGCCTCCCGATTAAAGGTGCTGTTAATGTTTTTTTTTTTTTAATCATAAATCATTTTAATGGATTTTGTAGCTTTTTTTTTTTCCCTCTACTAGTGCTTGAACTGAACCCAGAGCCTTAGCTTTTCAGTTAAGGGCCCTACTACTGAAATGCACCCCAGCCAGTTCCTGTTTGTTTTTAACATCTATGTATTTCTGTGTGCATACATGATGAGCCCAATACCCATGTGGAAGTCAGAGGACAGCTTTCAGTAGTTAGTTCTCACCTCTGCTGTGTGAGTTCCAGGAATTGAATTTGGGCTTGGTAGAAAGTGCACCTTTACCTGCCTAAGACCCTCTTGTCACCCAAGAAAGAAAAGCTAGATCGGGCATGGTGGCAAACACCTTTAATCCCAATGTTTTGGAAGGCGGAGACAGGCAGTTATCTGTGTGGTCAATACCAGTTTTCTCATAGTTCTGTGATAGTCAGTTATAGAGAGGGGCCTTGTCTTACCCCACACACACATCCAATCCCCCCCCCAAGTGGGTTAGAAATAGCAACAAATAGTCTTTGCAGTCTAGAAATTGTGTTGCATTAGAACTACCTCAGCTTGCTAGGCATCATGTTCTTTTTGTTTTTGTTTTGCTTTGAGACAGGATTTCTCCATGTAGCCCTAGCTATCCTGGAATTTACTGTGATCAGGCCGGCTTTGAACTTACCTCCAAAGTACTGGGATTAAAGGCACTTGACAGCATGCCCAGTTATGCTCTCAGTTCTTAAATATGCTCTCTTCCTGTAAAAATCTGGCTCTGTAAGCCTAGTTTACCCTCTATAACTTAATTTTAACTTCACATAGGTGAACATACTCTACTGTTGAGCTACAGCCCTTCTTAATTGCCTTTTTTCAAGATGTGTGTGAATATGGGTATGTGCCCACAGAGGCCAGAGGAAAGATACTGGATCTCTTGGAGCCCAGGTACTGGTGGTTGTGATCCACCCAGAAAAATGGGTGCAGGGAACTAAACTTGAGTCCTCTACTAGAGTAGTACTTGCTCTTAACTGCTGAACCATCTCTCCAGCCCCCTTAGTTGTCTTTTTATGTTAGGTGGGTTACTTGGCTTTGTTGTTTGGCTCTTAATTCTCTAGTACTGATAAGTAAAGAAATCGTAACACTTTTCCTGGACGTTTTTTGGCATTTTTAAAGAAACCAATTAAAGATAATATTTAAGGTTCAGGGAGATGGATCAGCAAATAAAAGTGCTTGCCATGCAAGCCTGAGGACATGAATTCAATCCTCTAGAACCCATGCTAAAAGCTGGATGACATTGTGGCAGGCCTGGTGGAGCCATAAGAATTAGTCAGAACTTGCAGACAGATAGTCAGGAATAGACAGCCAGCTTAGTCGCTAAAACAATAGACTCTACATCAAATGAGGTAGAAGGAAAGAACTAGCTCAAAGTGTTGTTCTTCCACATGCACAACCAAACACTCTTTTTTTTTTTAATTTATTTATTAGTTCTAGTTAGGGAACAAGCTTGTTTCACATGTGAGTCCCTTCTCCCTCTCTCTTCCCTCCCCCATCCCTCCTCCCCCACCCCCAGCCCA